AGCCCAACAAAACAATTCTAACCTAAATACCTGACAAATGGAGTCACATCTTCTACCACTCAACATAGTCCCTAAGAATCGGTCATAGCTTTTACCATATCTTTTTACTCAAAAGAAACATGCATAATAAACCCAGATGACCCATGAACCAAATGAACTTGAGCAATCAAGATTACCCAACAGTCTCATTTGTGTAGTCAGGTTTTTCAAATTTCCTCTCTAGCTGTACTCTCTCTATTCTAGAGTATCATCTTCTTCGTGCTTTCTAGGGTTCTTATTTATTATCTTCTTGTACTTAAATTTGAGTGTAGATTAGGATGAGTGATGTAGTGAAGATTATTTCTAAAGAGTGAGAATGGTTCTGTAATAAGGTTTCCTTTGTAATACAAAACCAAATGGTTCTTCGATAAAAAGAGTTACAATGTGTATGTAAATCTATCTTTCTATTTAAAACCCAATAATGATTATTATTATTATTTACTTTTAATTGTTCCTTCCATATTTATAGCTAGCTAATTGGTAGCTTATAAAATTTAGGCGTTTTGTTTTGGAAAAAAATAAAAATAAATAAATAAATAAATAACACGTCTTGAAAAAATTCATATGGGAACCTCAAAGATAAATATTTGTGAAGGTGAAAATGAAAGAAAACATCTTTGGAAATGCTTTAATTGCAGAGACCAAAAGATGCCACGTTTCTAGATTTCACATGCGACAACAAAAACCTTTCGAGGCACCGAACTGAAAACATACATAACTTCCTAACTAAGCAAGCAAGTAAGCCATGTTTTTAAGAAGAATAGCTAGTCAAAGAAACCCAAGTGAAAATTGTCTTCCCTTCCCGTTACTCTAGATTTCCTACACTTGTCGTTTTAATTTATTTATTCCTTTTATATTTTTTATCATCTTATTCATCTGATTGAATAACTTATTAATTAGTTGACGTGCTTGATAAAATTTCACATGAATGACTAACCACTAAATCAAAGAAAATAAAATTTTAACCACGTTAGTAATTACGTTTGAGCATGTAGAAGAGAATTAGTAGAGTATTTAATTTTATTCTTAAACAAATAATTAAATAGAACATCGAATGAAGTTTAAGGAATTTTCTTTTGTTACGTTGCAAGTTGTCACATAGGGACGCTTTCTGAAAATAAAGATATTTTGATAAATAAATAAAGAATAATAATAAATTGAACTTTAAGTCTTTAATATTCGACAACCCTAGAGCATACGTTATAGTTATTTTAATTATCATTTATGGGGTGGACATAAAGAGAAAGAGTTTCCTCCATATAAGCTTGGACGCGTGTGTATCTTTCCACTAATGGTACACCTACTTTTAGCCACCCAAACTCCCAACTTTTCAGTTTTCAAACCCTCAAGACACAAATTCAATTATAAATACGACTATTAACACTCTCTTTATCTTTCTATATAAAATACTTCCATCATCATCATCATCAGCAAAACATACACTATCATAAACTGTTTCAGCTTCCTTCGTTCTATCTATTCAACTTAAACTAAATGACGAAGGAAATGGCTGGAAAAACCTTGTTTTCGAAGAAAAACAAAGTCCGAAATAAACTCGCCATTCTCCTTCACAGCTCAGAACCAAACGTTTTCATCACCACCCACCAGCAACCAGAAAACTCCGAAATCAATTTTAATCACCGCAGTAGCAACGCCTCATTACCTAGCCCTGTCATGTCTTCATGTTCTTCACCAGCCTCCTTCATGTCTCCAATCAACCATATACCATCACCCTACTCCGAATCTCCTTGGACTCTTCCTCATGATAGCAATGGCGAAGATGGTATCACCTACAACACTGGCTTGATCGGGTCTTTGATACGTGAAGAGGGTCATATTTATTCGTTAGCATCGTCCGGGGATATGCTGTACACAGGTTCAGATTCTAAGAACATTAGAGTGTGGAAGAATTTGATGGAGTTTTCAGGTTTCAAATCGAGTAGTGGATTAGTGAAAGCAATCGTCGTCTTTGGTAATCGGATATTTACGGGCCACGAGGACGGGAAGATTCGTGTTTGGAAGTATTCAGATAAGAAGAAAAAAGCTTACAAACGGATCGGTAATTTACCCTCGACAAAAGATTACATCAAGAGCTCTATGAACCCTAATAATTACATTGAAGCAAGACGACACCGTAACCTTCCATGGATCAAGCATTATGATGTTGTTTCTTGCATGTGTTTGGATGAAGAAACAGGGTTGCTGTATTCTGGATCGTGGGATAGAACAATTAAAGTTTGGAGGCTTTCAGATTCGAAATGTTTAGAATCTATAAACGCTCATGACGACGCCATTAATTCCGTCGTAGCTGGGTTTGACGGTTTGGTTATTACCGGGTCCGCTGACGGGACGGTGAAGGTGTGGCGGAGGGAGTTCGTCGGGAAGAGCAAAAAACACCTTTTCGCTTACACTCTTTTGGATCAAGACAGCGCTGTCACGTCTGTGGTGGTGAACGCCTCTCAGGCCACCGTGTACGCGGGATCCTCTGATGGACTTGTGAACTTTTGGGAACGCAAGAAACAATCGTTGTCACATGGCGGAGTTCTGAGGGGTCACAAGCTTGCAGTGCTTTGTCTTGCGACTGCCGGAAGCTTGTTGTTGAGTGGGTCGGCGGACAACAGCATCTGTGTGTGGCGGAGTGAAGGTAGCGGCGTTCACACTTGTTTGTCGGTCTTGAATAGTCACACTGGTCCGGTGAAATGTCTCGCCGTTCAGGATCGGAATGAAGATTATGATGATGATGATGATGATCGGAAAGATGAAGAATGGATAGTTTATAGCGGCAGTTTGGATAACTCGTTGAAGCTTTGGCGGGTGTCGGAAATTCTAGCCTGAAAAGTGTTACTATTCAAAGTTAAAACCAATCTAGATTGCCACCACGTGCCGCCTTCTGAAAGTAGAGATCCAAGAAATCTTGAGTTTTTATCGATTGAAATGACGAACATCACAATTTGTCAGTGGGGAGAAGGCTGAAGGAGAAATGTTTGATCAGATGTATATGGTAACCTATAAATGGTGTTGAAGATCGATCACCACCATTGTGTGTATCTATATCTCTATATGACACATTGTATGTATCTCTATCTCTATAGTCACCAACATAGATCCAAGAAATTGGAGAACTGCTTAGTAAAATGATCTACTTCTGTGTTTGGGGATTTTTTTCTCTCTCTATGCTTTCATTTCAAAACAATCTACTAACAAAAATTAGTCTCCTAATATTATTTAGAAGAATAAGTTACACAAATGTTCTCTATGATTTAGGGTAATTTACACGTTTGGTTCCTAACTTATTTTTTAAATCGGAAGGTTCTTACTGTTTGTTTTTGTTACGCGTTTGGTCTCTGTCTTAGTTAAAAAGACTATTTTTCTCTTGGTTTTTTAATTTATTTAGATAAACACACCCACAATCTCACCTCGTCACCTTACCTTATCTACCCCACTATTTTTTCCTATTTAAATAATAGTATTTTTAGGTAAGACAGGGATCAAACACGTAACAAAAACACAAAGTAAGGACCAAACATGTAATAAAAGCAAACAGTAGGGACCTTCCAAATTAAAAAATAAGTTAGAGATCAAACGTGTAAATTACCCCAAAGCATAAGAACCATTCGTGTAATTTACTCTATTTAGAATTCATGCCAAAAGCAATATTTTTTGAATTAACAAGTCTGTCGCTAAATTAACCACCTAAAATTATTATAATAATTTCAACAAATGGAATTATAAAAAATAAAAAAAAATAAAAAAAAAATAAAAAAAACAACATCCATCATTATACTCGTTTTTAGACACACAAATGAATATTTTGAGATTATTGATTGTTTTGATTGCCATACTTATGCTAGTGCTTGAACATCATTAAGTCACCAAAATTCTTTGTGGTAGGTGGTCCTTTTAGAGCGTTTTATTATGTTTTGTATTCGACAAGCCATTCTTTTGTTGTATTTCACTATATTAGATTTTTCAATTTCAAGTTTTTGTTATGCATTTGAAAAGATAGAGTAGTTAAACATCATTATATCTAATTTAATATGTGCTTCAAAATGTAACATGCGTAAAATGATATCAAACAGCTAACCCACCATGTTTTTATTTTTCAGGGGTTAATGATGAGGAGGATAATAAGGTTTAAATTTTGCCTATATTAAAATTTTAAGGTCTTTTTTATATATATTACATTAAATGGTAGTTATAACCGTTTAAATGTTGTCATTTTTACCATTTAAATGAAGGGAAAATGATTTATAAGGGTAAGAAAGTTTTACGAATGTTCAAAAAAAACCATTTAAGTTTGTCGTTGTTCAAAAAATACCATCCAAATAATAATATTGTATAAAAAATACCAATAAAATATATTGTTTGTTCAAATGTTACCTATGGTAACCGGCAGGTGTAGGTTACCTCTCTTATTCAACCGTTTAAAAAAAATAAAAAGGAAATGACATGGAGTATACGATCGTTTAACATATATGTGGGTTTTACCCTTCTCTCTCAACAACACGAAGATTGGGAAGGCGATTCTTCTAGGGCTCGATCGATCAAATATCCTTCAAGAAATTCTGAAGTCGGATACGTTCATGTAAGTTATACTCTTAACATTCCCTCTTTTAGCAAACGATTTTTCTTTTCTTGTGTCTCTTTTTGTGTTTCAAACACTGGCTTCGATACCCCAACCCTTCTAAATCAATCGAACGTTGGATATAGAATGGAGGTTTCTAGACTCATCGTTGATTGATAAAAATCAGACCATCACTTATTCTCATAGGTAACAGACCCTAAATCAGGGGTAACAAACCCTAAATCAGTCCGCATACTTTTGAACTGTGTTGAACATTCTTGGAAATTTTATTGTTTTAATTAGTCATATGTTCAACCTTTATTTATCTTATATGATTATGTTACTTGCTAATCATTAACAATGACCTTTGTAGTTGACTTTGGCCGTTAAAACAAGAATGTCGTTCTCAACAGATGGTGCATTGAGTATAGATGTTTTCCATAAAGGAGTGTTTGTTCCTAAGCCCTTGATGTACTTCAATCCTGATAAGACTTCTGTCACACAGGTAGACTTACGAAATATGGAGTTTAAGGACTTCAAAATCTACATCCGTAATCTGACGAAGGGTATGTGTCATGATATGTACTACTGTCTTCCAAATCGCGCCATAGTAGATGGGTTGAGGGAGCTGAGAGATGAAGATGATTATCTAAGGTTTCTTAATGTTGGATATAAAAATGGGAGAAGAATCAGTATCTACATTGATCACGACCACGAGCCACTTATGCAATGGATTGAAGAAGAGATAGCCGAAGATGGAGTGTACGGTGATAGTGATCCATCTTCTGATGATGTGGACTCAGTGATGTCAGATGATATATCGGTAGACCATGAAGTTGATGATGAGGTTATAGAAATTCCTAAATCTGTTGATCCGTTTTTATCCAAGAAAAATCTTATTCCAGAAGGAGGGGTAGATGAGGAAGTTGATGATGAGGTCCACCACTTTCCTATTCATGATCCTGACCAGAAATAGGACACAATGGTACCTGTATTAGGCATGAGATTCTCTGACATATATGAACTCAAGCAAAAGTTAACAAATTATGCTATCTTTAAAGGGTATGCATTGTGGTACGAAAAAAATGACTCAACTAGATTGTTAGTGAGGTGCTGTAAAAATAAAGAAGGGAAGGCAACTTGCCCTTTTAGACTATGGGCTACTCCAATGAGTAGTGAAGATTCATTCCAAATCAAATTGCTAATTGACGAACATAACTGTTGCAGGCAAGTTAATTCGGGGTCTATTGTGACATACAGGTGGATTGGGAAAATGTTAACGAATGACATTTTGGTAAAGCCCCGCATCAGCTACAGGAACATGGTTGCATTAGTTAAGAAAAATTTTGGTTTGCATGTAAGTGTTGGGCAATGTAGAAATGCCAAGAGTTTTGCACTAGATGAAATTTCAGGTAGCTTGGTGGGACACTATGAAAAGTTGTGGGATTATGGAGCGGAGTTATTGAGGTCTAATTCGGGTTCAACAGTCTCAATAGAAGTGAATCCTATGCCTGATTCTACAACTTACTTTAAAAGAATGTATGTTTGCCTTAAGGGTGTGAAAGATGGTTGGAGTGAAGGATGCAGGAGGGTGATTGGTGTTGATGGATGTTTTTTGAAGGGTATTTGTAGAGGTGAGCTATTAGCAGCTGTTGGTAGGAACTCCAACAACCAAATGTACCCGTTGGCATGGGCTGTAGTGTTAGTAAAAAACAAGGAAACCTGGAAATGGTTCTTAGATCTGCTACTTGAGGACATTGGGATGGGAGATGGCAGAGGTCTTACCATTATTTCTGACCAGCATAAGGTTTGTTCTTATAAATACATAACTTAGTGCTTTATATGTTTATTTATATGTTATTTTATATTTAATGTTAATATTTTCATCTGGCAGGGTTTGGTAGAAGCTGTTAAAGAAAGAGCACCAGCATGTGAGCATAGGCAATGTGCTAGACACGTCTATGCTAACTTTAAGAAGAAATACACAGGTGTTGAGTTTAGGAAGTTATTCCGTAGAGCTGCAAAGTCCACAACCGAGTCAGCTTTCCGATCTTATATGAGGGAAATCATTGCGATGTCCACACATGCTTATGATCACCTAATGGAAAGAGACCCAAAGACATGGTGCAAGGCATTTTTTGAGATTGATAGGTGTTGTGATGCTGCGGAAAATGGAATATCATAATCTTTTAATGCAACAATTGTAGAGGCCAGGAAAAAACCTATTATATCAATGCTGGAAGAAGTCAGAGTGTACGTGATGGAGAGGATGTACAAACAAAAAGGGAAGGGGGAAAATGGAACTTGGATATATGTCCTTCCATTAGAAGGAGGATTGAGACATTTAAAGAACAATAGAGGTATAATACTTACTTGGAATGCAACTTTTTTTTATTTGAAATTACTTACTTTATACCATTTCATCATAGGTATTCGGATGTTACTCCAAGTGGTCCGCAGATATATGAAGTGAGACAATTACATGAGGTTTATGCAGTTGACTTGGACCAAAGAACCTGTGGGTGTAGAGCATGGCAGTTGACTGGTATACCATGTGTACATGGTATTGCTGCAATCTTGTTTTTGAATGGGAATGCAGAGGAGTATGTTGCAGTTGGGTTCACAACGAATATGTTTGGAAGTTGCTATAGATATAACGTGAAACCAACTAATGGAGCTGACATGTGGCTGGAAACAGGTCTTCAAAGCATCTTGCCACCAAGGCGTAGTAGAATGCCCGGGAGACCAAAAGTGAACAAAAAGAAATGTCGTACAGAAAAAGAAGGAAAACATACTGTTAGCAAGAAGGGGGGCATTCCAAAATGTGGTAATTGTCATCAAGAAGGTCACAACAGGAGACGATTCCATTCCTAATTACAATCTTTCTTTATTAAGATTTTGACACTAATAATTTTTTTTGCTTTACAGATGAACAACTACCTGAGGAGGTTGGGTCTGAAGAAGTAGTGGTTGCTGAGGAGGTTGGGGCTGAAGAAGAAGTGGTTGCTGAGGAGGTTAGGGCTGAAGAAGAAGTCATTGCCGAGGAGGCTGGGGTTGAAGAACAAGTGGCTGCTGAGGAGGTTGGGGTTGAAGAAGAAGTGGTTGTTGAGGAAGTTTTTGAACAAATGGTGGCTGATGAGCAACCAAATGAGGAGCAAGCAGCTGAACATGTAGTTGCTCAACATGTACAAGTTGTTGCTAAAAAGTGTAATAGGAGAAAGGGTGGTCCTTCTCAGAGGATCACAAAGCTTAAGTTGATGAGAAAGGTGGTTACAAAAGATGGAAGTGGGTCAAGTATTGATAATCCAGTCACCTTAATCTAGGATATTAGCTTTTGTTTAAATTATGCCAAAAACTATAAAATGGCACATCTTTTGGTGCTTAGTGCACACTAAAAACAATTAAATATTGTAAGGGCTCCACTTTTGGTGCCTTGTGCACACTTACCAACATTTAGTGCTAAATGCACATGTTTTGAATGAATATTACTTACTGTTTATGCCCTTTAAATTGTTTGTACATCTACTGTTTTATCACTTACTGTCCATATATTGTTGTTTGTTGCTTTGAAAAATTGTGATTTTAATAGTTATTTTACCAATCCTTTGTTTGGGTATAATGTGACCAATACTTTGTTTGAGCATGAGGTGGGAAAGAAATAATAACGTACAAATTGATAGTGTGATGCTATTTCAGAAATGGTGTTTTGGTCATTTACTTCACTACATCAATACTAATATTTGGCCATTGAATCATATATTTTTTTGACAACTGCTTTATCATTTTCTGTAATTAGGTTTTGTGTTACCAAAATCACTCCCAAATTTTCGAATTTGTCCATAAGAAGATGGAAGCTTCACTAGTTTCGCCAAAAATGCAACAAAAATGACCAAAATACCCCTGTTTTTAGTTTCGCCAAAAATGCAACAAGAATGACCAAACTACCCCTGTTTTTAGTTTCGCCAAAAATGCAACAAGAATGACCAAACTACCCCTGTTTTTAGTTTCGCCAAAAATGCAACAAGAATGACCAAACTACCCCTGTTTCTAAATTAATGACCAAGATGCCTATGTTTCGAAATTAATGACCAAAATACCCCTGTTATAGCAGACATGTGTGAGGGGTTGCATGTGGTTCTATATCATTGAATAAAAGTTCATTGCTATTTCTCCTCCATTATAATGGCTTGATGACAGTTATACCATCCATACAAACAACCATTATATACTAAAAGGACAATGATATTTCTTCTAAACATTGTTAAAAGCAAAGTCAAACTACAAAAAGTACATTGATATTTCTTCTAACATTGTTAAAAGGGAAATCAAAGTGAAACTACAACTTACCATACATACTAAAAGAAGTAAATTGCAATGAATTAAATATATATACTACATCATTAATTTCACTAAAAACACAACAAAAATCATGATTATGAACCACTTCTGAAATCGTAATTTCCTACTCATTTGTGTCAATTCCTTACTTAAAGTAATATATTCCTTCTTTGCTATCCCTTTGTGCTCATTGAAATCTTTTTCCAAAATTGATATCCTCACTTCAATGGAATCTACTTTTATTTCTGTTTCATCTCTCTTATTCGTGTTTCTTACTCCTTCATCATCATCAACCCATTTCCAAAGAGAACAATTTGGTGTGTTTGGATCCTTCATATGCAGAAAAAAAAATACCATCTGAAGAGGGGAAACGACATTAACTAAGGAAGTATGTATACAAAAGGTATGATAACTTACCAGTCGGTTGGGACAAACCCTAAATTTTTTCCCAGGATTCTTTTTAGTGGTTAAAGTCCAAATTTGTGATGGGAACCCACAACCACAAGGGTATGAATCATCAACCATCTTATTTGTCTTTGAAACGTTAGAGCTTGAGGATGAGATTATGGATTTGGCAGAACAAGATGAAGCCATTAAGATGCTGACGAAGGAGACGGTGCAGGAGAGAAACCAGTAGTGCTCGTCCCTTATTATGCAAAAGCCCTAATTCGTTTTCAAGAAAAACATATAAATGTCATGTCATTAATTTTAAGCCACATCAACAATTTTTTAATCCTACTCATCAAGTAACCTACAACAACCGATTACCATAGGTAACATTTGAACAAATAGTATATTTTATTGGTATTTTTTATACAATATTGTTATTTGGATGATAGTTTTTGAACGATGAAAACTTAGATGGTTTTTTTTTGAACATTTGTGAAACTTTCTTACCCTTATAAGTCATTTTCCCTTAAATGAACAAAATTTAAATGATTATAACAACTATAATGATTATAACAATTATATTGGTGTAATATGTACATAAAAGATCTTAAGAAAAACCTTTTTACCTTCCTAGGTCATTAACCATTAGAAGTTTTTAGAATAATTACATAAAAGAACCTTATGATTTACCATTTAGTGATCTTGATATTGATGGTTTTGTGGTTTCAATTTTCATTGCATGGTTGTTTGTAAGGACTTAAATATCATTTTTAATATTTTCATCATGTCATTTAACTTTTTTACAATTTATATTAGTATCGAGTTTGATGGTTTCATCATTTCATATTCTCTTTTTAGTCGTTATATTATACATAACCAACAGTTTCAATTGAAAGGTTACATAACAATTTTTTGACATTAAAAAAACTAATACTAGTCAAAGTCTTAATGATTAAGGCTATGTTTGACGTGCCACAGATAGCTGATAAGCTAATTTATTTTTTGAGATAATTTAATTTTCAATGTTTGGCATGCCAAAAAAGTAACTTATAAACTAGCGTTTTAAATAACTATTTTTGATTAATTTTTTAAAATTTTCCAAATATATCCCTTAAATAATATTAGAAAACATATTTTTAAATGCTCTTTTACGTGATTATATAAATTTTAGATAGCAGCCAGTGGCGAAGCTAGTGTCAAACAAAAGAGGTATCTCCGTTAAAAAATTCATGCAACATACAATAAGAAAAAAAAATCAGAAAAAATTACACCATTGAAATTTTTTTGAGGGCCACCTGGGCCACCTCGGGATGTAAACTAAATATGTCAATGTTATCAAATACTTTTACCAAACGTTATTTTTTACTAGTTTGTTTTTTATATAATAACTACTTTTCAGCTAACCACTAATTTTTCAAGTAGTACATCAAACATAGCCTAAACCATAAAAAAAAGTTCTTATGATTATTAAATAAAAAAAATATCCTTGAGGATGAAGCCAATTTATATTTTATTTGATTTAAGTTTTCATTATTCCCTGTTCACCCTTTTCTTGTTATTTGGAAACACCTATGTTGATCTTGTATCTCTAATCTCTTTTAGAAGGGTTAATGACCTAGAAGCATAATAAGGTTTCAAAATTGTTTACATTAGGTCCTTAAGATTTTTTTTACATATTACACCAACATGGTTGTTATAACCATTTAAATATCGTCAATATAATGTTTAAAGAGACGATTTTTAAACGGTTGTAACAACCATAATGTGATATGTACAAAAAAGACCTTAGGGACCTAATATAGACAAATTTAAAACTTTGTTACTCTCCTAGGTCATTAACCATATTTCATGTATACAAGTGTTATACCCAATAAATTTCTATGCAGATAGTAATGAATTTTTGACGTTTCACATACACGTATGACCTATTTCAGGCATACAAGTGTTATACCTAGTAATATTAGCTATTAATTGGAGATTCATGGTTAACTTTTAAACAATTAACGATGAATCTCTAAATAGTGGCTAATATTACTATAAGAATAAACGGAGTGGAGGTCGCCATTGTCCTTGCTACGCTTGCTAGCCAACTTGAAACACCGCCCACTAGTACTTGCTAGAAGGGTGGCTACAGAGCACTCGTCGAAGTTTTGGCGAGAATAGAGAGAAACAATAGCACGTTGCGATTGGGTGGAAGAAGACGAAACAGAAATCGGGTGTGGTGTTATTTTACTTTTTGATATGGGATTGCGCTTGATGTTCTCCTAAACCATCGATCAGTTTCGAGTTGTCTATGTTGGCATCAAATCAGCTATTGAGAGTGAGAAATGATTGTTCAGACCTCTAATCCATAAACGATCGCAACTCAATCGCTCGTCTCGCTGGTATCGCAATTTCACAATCTCTTATCTGCTTCATCTCGATTCTTCACAATTTGCTTTGGTGCTTCTTCAAATAATTGGCTACTTTAGCGAACTATTGAAATTTGAAGGTACCTGTTAGTTACCATTCAATTAATTAGGTTCATTAACCACTTATCACCCTTATTTGCTTTATGTGTTTCTTTGATACAATCAACATTGCAATTTGTTACTGTTGATGAATAGTATCAGAACGAAGAGAGTACCCATCCTGCACCAGTTACAGATGCAAATAATCCTTTTCATATTTGATCAAATTGAAAGACCCACTTTCTATCTATAACATTGTGAGCAGATGCTTTGTGCAGAGTGATAGTCCTATTTTTGCACTCCATTTGTTTGATGAAATGCACGACCGAGGACCTGACCGCTGATTCAGATATAAAGCCTTGGTTTCTTGGAACTCCAATATTTGTGGTTATATTTAATCTAACAGATATAAAGAGGTTTTAATTATTTGTGGGTATAGTCAATCACATTAAGTTTCTTTATTTACATTAAGAACTCAAACATTAAACTTGATGAAACATAGTTGCTACCATGTTCTCTGTCTCTGCTCATCTAAGCTCAATCGATATGGGCAAATCCGTCCATGACTACATTTGTAAAAATAACATAAAATAGAATTTATACATTGGGAACTCTTTGATCGATATGTACTGTAAATGTGGTTCAATAGATAATGCATTAGAAGTCTTTGAAGAAATGGAACACAAAGATTCAGTTTCCTGGACCTTTCAGGATTTGCTATGAATGGAAATGCCAATTACGCCCTTGACCTTTTCTCCAAGATGTTAATGTAGTTTATATGTTGAGTCGACGGGGCATCCTGATAATAGCGGGAATTATGTTCTTTCATCAAACATTATGCGGGTCCTGTGAGATGGGAATTATGTTCTTTCATCAAACATTTAGGACTTGATGTTTGTTTGTTTGGTATTCTTGAATGAAAGAGGGAATGGAAAAGATAATTCCATTACTTCAAAAAAAAAAATTGGTTGATCACATAGAAATGATAGAGTGATTACCAAAGGAATGTGATTCCTTTTAAACTTTGCTTTTTTGATTCTTCGCACACCCCCTATTTTTTTTATCATTCCTTCATTCAAAGAAAGAAAACTACTGATTTTACCCTTTATCGGTTCTTATTGAGTTTTTGTCAATATCACAACCAAATAGTTAATCAAACAAAAGTCAACAAACTCAACTGTTTAAAGCCAACTTGATGTTAAATTTCTATAGTGAAAAAAAAAGTCTTTTAATCGTATTGTTGAAATTATCCAGGTCTATGATGGATTGTGTATTAAAATAATTGAATTTATGTAATATTTTATATATGAAAAAAATTATAATTTACTTAAATTAAAAAAAATAGAATGTTAAGAGTGTTACCACTCCTTATGCAATACTAAAAATTGGGTGCTAAGACAAAAAAGATGATGTGGCAAGCAAAAAAGTGACATGACAAGGTGTTACGAGTGTTACTATTCCCTCCAACCTAACAACGATGCATCTAAAAGTTTAACTAATTACCCAGACTAAGTTATAGTCTGTGGAAACCACGGTTGATTTTATAATTATTATTTTTTATCATAAAAACCCATAATTATTAATAGAGTATTTTAAATAAATTATTATTTAAAAGATTTATGCTTTTTAATATATATAAAATTTTAATCGTTGATTAAAATAAGTATGTGAAATTATTTTTTCAAGATATATGAAACAATTTTTATTTGTGAATTAATAAAAAAGAAATGATATTATATAATTAAATGTTAAATTAATTATAAAAATAAAACAACCACGATAATATAAGTAATTAAAATTGAGATATAGCAAATCAGAATATTAAGTTGTTGAAATAAATATATATCAAAAAAAATATAAGAATATACAAATGAAAATTAACAATAAAGTTTTATTAAAAATAATAAAAAATAGATGTTATAAGAACCTAAATAAGGACCATCAATAACTTTTGTTAATTGCCATTGCAAAACAAACATCTAATAAAAATTATTTTTTTTTAAATTTAAATGAGGTTTTTTTTCATGCTGAATTTGAATGAGATTATCTTTTATCATTGTAAAAACCAGATTTTTAAGAAACAAACCAACTTTCAATTTTTTTTTTTTCATTAAATAAGATGTGATAATATATCTTCAATGGTTAGACGATATCACAAATATTTTTTTATATAATCACCTTGAAACCCAACTGAGAAAGTTTGATTAAGAAGTGCAGTTTTACTACTTTCAGACTCTCTACTCCTATGAACCCCTATCAACTTGTATTATGCAATAGAATAAATATAATATACAAGGTCTAAACATAAAAAGTTATGTATAACATAAAAAATGTAATAACGAAACTAACTTTTTTGTGTACTCGTTAATCTCAATAATATCAACATTAATAAATAAGTTACTAGCATACCAATGAGATTTTACTCGAACAATATCTAAAAAGCAAAAAAGAATTAAAAAAATATATTTTTATCAACAATTTAAATATCAAAATATTATCACAAACAATTCCGAACGATAAGGGTAACAAACTGGACAATTATGATAACACATCATAAATTCTGATAGTTGATCAGTTTGAAATCCAAACAAGTAATTCTAAGCTTGGTACACCTACAATACGAAAGTAATAAATTTAAAACAACATACAAAATATATAAGAAATATGGGATAAACAACAGATTAAAGAAGCAACTCTATGTCGCTTAAGGTACGTAGTCTTCAAGTTGTGCCTTGATTGAATTGGATTAGACGCGTCAAGAGAACGACGAGATATTACATGTCCGATCATATCTACAAATCATACAAAATAATTCTTCTCATTATGTGAGAAATGAAAATAATGTAAAAAAATAATTAAAAAACTAACCAAAACATGAGTTGGTGAGACAATTTTGCTGTAAAATTAAAGCAAATTCAACAAAAACAAAAGTATTAAGTG